AGGAATTCGATCAGCCGCTATTAGCGTCGTGCCACCTGACCCGAGACTGGTCGCAGGCGTCGTACCGAGCGCGTCGAGACCGTGTCCTGATGTGATCTTGCACGGGTGAGTCACGTCGGCGTCAAAGGAGCGACGTGTGACCTGTCAGAGCTTGATCTCCGATCTCAGCTGCCTCTGCGCGTCCTGGGGAGGGACAAAAATTGTCGCCGCCGGAGACGACTCGACGCCGCTGAGATCGGAGATCAAGCTCTGACAGGTCACACGTCGCTCCTTTGACGCCGACGTGACTCACCCGTGCAGATCACATCAGGACACGGTCTCGACGCGCTCGGTACGACGCCTGCGACCCGTCTCGGGTCAAGGTGGCACGACGCTCATCGCGCCTGCCAGCGCTGCCGTACAGGTTGCCACGACGAGGTCGAGCACGCTTCTATACGCTCGCCGAGCCTTCCTTTCCATCCCATTAGGCAGCCTGGGAACGGTGGCGGTCAGAGGCAAAGCCTACGAGGGGTGGTGGAACCACATGTCACGGCTACTGCCGGCTCGACCCACGATAGCCTCCGGAGGCTGACTTTGCGGCACCATCATCGGGCGATGTCGACGAGTTGGGTCGCTCTCGCGGTAGCCAGATGACCAATGACCTCTCTTCCTAGGAGCATCGGCCATGGCCGCAGGGAGCGCGGGGGAGGGCGCTGGAAGCAACACGGAGCTCCGTTGGAGACGTTTTCAAGATTAGCGTGTCAGAGTGAAATGGCACTAGCCAAGTCACATATCTTCCGACCCACGTCCGAGAAGATCCATTTCCATATCTGTAGAGGACAGTGCACACGTTGTCAGTGCTTTTATCCTTTTAGCTTTATGTAGATTAATGACGGATAAGAACGACAGCCCGGCGAAACCGGAGCGGCACATCGCACACATCAGTCGTCGTCCATGGCGCCAAACTCATCCGAGTCCTCCTCCGACTCGCCCCCATCCTCCTGCAGCCAACGCGGGGCGAGCTCAGATCAGCACTGCCGGAAGGGGGGTGGGCGGGGGGCACGCTGGAGAGGGCGGTCGCTGCCTCGTCGTCGGCGGCGATGAAGTCGTCCATCTCGCCGGTCGCCGCCGCCCGCCTCTCCTCGGCGTCCCAGGCGCGCTCCTCGTCGTCGTCGTCGCTCTCGTCCGCCTCCGCCTCGTCGTCGTCGCGGTAGAGCCGCGGCCGCTTGCGTCTGCCGCCGCCGCCGCCGCCGCTCGAGCCTCCGCCGCGCGCCTTTGAGCGCTGGTTCTTGAAGCGGCGCTTGATCGCGCCCAGGTTGCCCTCCTCCTCCTCGTCCGCCTCGAGAAAGCTCGCCGAGAGGGTCGGGCCGGAGGAGGAGTACTCGCCGACCGAGCGGCGGTGAGAGGACTGCCGCAGGTCCAGGCGGCGCTTCTCCTCCCACTGCTTCTCCCTCTTCTGCTTCTCCAGCTCCGGCGCCTCCGTCGTCGCCGTCATGATGATCGAGCGACCGCCCTTGCTGCTCTTGCCCTCCCAGCTCTTGGCAATGTGCTTGGTGAGCGCGCGGTGCGTGCTCGAGTCGATCGACACGGGCTGGAAGAGCATGCGCTGCTCCATCGTGCCGTGGCACTCGAGGTTCGAGCCCTTGTGCCGCGTGTAGAGGTGCGTCCCGCCTACTTGAGCAGCCGCTACTTCAGCAGCCGCTACTTGAGCAGCCCCTCGTGCGGACTCGCGCCCTCCCGTGTCCATGTCCATGTGGCGTTTGGGTGTGGGCGTGTGGGTGTGGGTGGGGGAAGAGGCGAGGCGCGCACCGCCGGGCAGCCGCTGCTTCGGCGCGGAGAGGACCTGGTGGGGAGGTGGCGGGTTGACGCCTCGTGTGGCGGGTGGTCGCGGCCCCTCCCTCCCTCCCTCCCTCCCTCCCTCCCTCCCTGCCTCCCTCCCTCCCTCCCTCCCTCTCTTCCTCTCTCCCTCCCTCCCTCCCTCCCTCCCTCCCTCCCTCCCCTCGCCTCGTTGCCGACGTGGAGTGTCGTCGAGCCGTCCGACCAGCGAACCATCTTGGCGTTGGACTGGCGCCCTCCCGTGTCGGGATTGGTGCGCCACCGGATGACGTTCTCCCCGCGCACCTGCAGCGGGCATCGCGGGTCACCTCTCGCCCCCCCACCGCCCCTCTCTCCCGCTCTCTCCCCTCTCCCTCACCTCGTAGCGCGGATCTCCGTCGCCGTCCACTTGGAACGGATCGCCGAGCTCCTTCTCGAGGCACTCCGGATTGTCCGACTCGAACGGACGCGGCTGGACCTTGAGGATGTTTGGCATCCGCACCTGCGGCCAACACCGCCCTCAGCGTGTGCCCCGCAGCGGCGGCGGAGCGCGGGCGGCAGCGGCACGCACCATAAGCAGCTCGCTCCCGGCGGGCGGGCGGCGCAGCGCGGGCAGCTCGTAGTGCAGCGGCGGCGCCGACGGCACCTGCGGCGCCGACGCCGCCTGCCCTCCGTCCTCGTCGTCATCGCCGTCGCTCCCAAACAGGTCGGCCTCGTCGACGCCCTCCCCCGCGTCGTCCCCGCCGCCGCCGCCGCTGGGAGGCGCCGGCTCGTCGTCCGAACCCTCCGAGTCGGAGCCGAAGAGCTCGAGCATCTTGGCCTTGTCCATGACGGCTCGAGCAAGCGGGGCTGGGCTCTGGCTCAGCTGCTCTGGCTACCACACCCTGGCGACCACAGTGGAGGTTTGGTGGGTGTTCGGGTTCTCTCATGTTTTGTTTGTCTTGTTGTGAGCGCCTGTGGGACGCCTGCGCACGGGCCCGGCGAGCCTCTGAGCGGCGAGCCGAAGGTTTGCTGCGGTGGTGGTGGTAGGTAGGGAGAGATGAGAGATTGTTTGTTAGGTAGGTGAGGTGAGGTGGGGTGGTTTGACTTTGCCGCAGAGGCCGTCTCGCTAGCTGTGAACAACAAACGAGACGGTATTTGTTAGGAGTGAGTGTAGTAGTCCCGACCATGCGGAATCAAGCTCGAGTATTGCAATAGTCGATTGGGAGGGGGGGGGGGGGGTGGCGGGGGGCGGGCATAGTTGATTGCTGATCTCTGACTTCGGTCCGCCGTTTTCCGCACTCGAGTACTTCGAGGCGCAGAGAACTCTGCTGGAATTTAGTGGGTTGGCGAGAAGGGGGGAGAGCCCAATGTGGAACGGCTGGGCGGCGCCGGGGCTGGGGAGGAGGGACCGTGAGCATGGGCCACTTCGTTCGAGGCGGACCAAGGTCTGTCGTCGCGCAACACGGGCCGCCGCCTTTTGCGGGGCGCGTCCTGTGCGCCGACTCGACGGACGGGTGCGGCGGTGGCGGTGGCGGGGGAGGGGTCGACGGTAGAGGAGGCGGCAGGGGCTTGAGAAGTGCCGGAGGTGGCGTCAGCCGGGCCCCTCGCGGACTTCTCTGCCGAGCTGGCCAAGAGCTTCTAGCAAGTCTACTCAACAGCCGGGGCGAGAAGATTGAGTTCGCGATCCCTCCACCGGCGGACGTACTCAAGGCTCTGAACCTGAGCCGCGTTTGAGTCGGGCTAAGCCTTGCTTTCCGCGCCGCGAGCAAAGTAAAGCCCCTGCCTCTCCATCCCTAGCGCCTACCCACAGCTTCTTGACTGGCCGCCGCCCGTCAGTATTCTCTGTGTGAGCTCTGTGTCTTGATTGGCCAACAACAAACCTAAAACCCCTCAACCACCCCTCTCTGGGCGTCCGCGTCGCCTTGAAGGCCGCCACCTCCTCAAACTGCTGGCGCGGCGCGTCCGCGCTCGTCGGCCGCATGCAAAATCGGGAAAGTACTCAAAGCGTGATCAGCGAGCGCTGGCAGTCCGGCTGTGCCATTGGCGTTGAGAGCGGAGGCTCGGCAATCGGCTTGGCCATCAGCGGAACGTAGTCGAAGGGGTCGTCGGTCACTCGAGCGGGTGAGGGGATCCGGGCGACGGGCTCCAGCTCTGCGAGTGGCGCGGGCGCGTGCTCATCAGCGGGAATGCCTGTGCCCTCCCCTCGCTCCATGACGTCGATGTCAACCGCCTGATCATCGTATGTGCTGGCGTCGTCGAGGAACCGCCGAAGGCGCTGTCGCGTCTGCCAGCTGCAGGCGGCGATCGCCCCTGCTGCAAAGCCTTGAAGGATGTGGGCGGCGAGCGACTGGTCGCCAACGGCTTGCTCGAGGTGCAACGTGATTCCCTCGCCGAGGAGGAAGCCAAACGCAACCACTGCATCCGCAATGTCGAAGCGCGAGAATGGCGCCTGGCACGCGACGACGCCGCTTGGGGAGATGGAGCACGAAGGCATACCGGGCGGCGGCGGAGCACTTGGAGCACTTGGACTGCAGTCGGCGAATTATCTTTTCTTTCTTAGAGTCAGAGCTCCCTTGCATTTACCTTTGGTGTGAAAAGCTGGGATCTACCGCGGTCTTGCGCGATCTACTACCGGTACACACACACACACACACACACACACACTAGACTGTAGTAGATCGCGCAAGACCGCGGTAGATCCCAGTAGATCGCGATAGAACGGGGAGCTGCAGTCGTTCGCGATCTACTGCAGTCTACTGCAGTCTATTCCAATCTCATGGTGTTGCCGCCGCAGGCGTAAACCGCGCAAAAAATGGTTGGGTAGTAGGGCTAGAGGGTCGCTCTACACTTAGCCTCTGCAGCGAGCGAGCGCTCAACTTAGCCCCCGCACGGAGCCGGGCTCAGACTTAGACGCTGGAAGGCCGGGGGCCATGAACTTAGACGACACAAGGCCAACTCGGGTAAAACCCGGGTATACCTGCAAAAGTCCAGGTTTACCCGAAAAATACCTGGACGCGGTCCCGACCAGCGTATGCCGCGCACGACGCCATATCGCCGTCTCCCAGGGCCAGTGCGCTACTTGCGGCGCGCAACGCCTGCTCAAGTACGCGCACCGTACCATGTGCTGCCGCTATGCGTGCCTTAAGGCGGCTGCGGCGAAGCGGCGGGCGCGGCATGCCGATGGCAGTGCGGACGATGCGGTTGCGATGTGTTCTGCTTCAAGATCGTGGCGGTGCTTGGCATGCACTTCTGCGATCCCAATCAGCTCATCGCAACGAAGCAGCGCAACAAGCTGGCTGCTGCCAACAAGGCCCTATGCTACCTCACGCGCGGATCGTTCAAAGAGGACCAGCATACACAGGCTTCTCTGACATGCGTTTGTTTGAGCTTGAGGCTATTTGTGAGAACTATTTGGCTAGATGTCGCCGAAGTGCGCTCAAGAAGCAGCAACGAGAATCGGAAGAGGAGGATGCTGAGGCGGCGATTGCTGAGCATGAGGAGGATCGATCGCCCGCCGCGCAGGCGAAGAAAATTTGGGCGCGAGCGCCGTATATCGCGTGCCATGGCCGACTTAGCCGGTGTAAGAGGCTCCCGCTGATCTTAGACCGCGTAAGCACTCCAGCGTGGCTAGCCACACTTAGACCCGTTAAGCCGCGAGGCTCAGAACTTAGACTACTACCCAACCAGTGCGCAAAATTGGGGTAGATGGGAGTATATCTGGCAATCAGATATATAGAGGTATTCAGCAGTCTTTAGGGGTATTCCGCAATCCACAGAAGTCTACAGCAGTCTACAGCAGTCTACTGCAGTCTACTGCAGTCTACTGCAGTCTACTGCAGTCTACTGCAGTCTACTGCAGTCTACTGCAGTCTATCCGCCGATTTCTCGTTAGTGATGGCCGTGTGTGTGGCAGAGATGTGCGTAGCTCAGAGTGTGTCTGGGGGCGACGAGAACCATCCAAAGTCCACAGCAGGCTGCACCGGCTGCACGAATTTGTTCAGAGGCTGAACCACTGCTCGCCGGCGGTCGCAGGCTCCGCACGTTCAGCTATGCAAAACGGCGGCGGCGGGCTGGCTGGGGCACCTAGCGGGTTAGCAGAAAGCCCTGGTATACGGTTGACAAGAGATCTACGTCGAGCATTCCCGACGATGCGCCCCCGCTCCGCCTGAGAGTAGGTCTCAGCGGAAAATGCAGCCCGTCGGCTACGGGGATGCAGCCCGCGATGTCCATGCAGCCTGGCAGACGCGCGCGGCAATGTCATCCGGCACGGCATCCGTTAGTAGCACGCGCCTCTGCCGTATTTTGAAGGCGGCGGCTTGCGTGAACTCATGCTGCATGCCCGCGTCCTTGAGCTCTCCTGCGAGGGCATCCTCAAACTCGGGCACAACGCACACCCTCCCACGGCCGCCCACGCGGCAAAGGACCGTGCACTTTGTAAATCTGGTCTCTCCGGGGAAGAAGACGTTTATCTGCCCGCGGTGCCACTCTCTCTGTCACCACACCTCGGCGGGCGAACGCTCGAGCTCGGCCACGCTCATAGAGGCGAGAATTGAACGGCGGGCAGAAAAGGGAGAAACAGGAAAAGAAGGAGGAAGAACTTCTCCTGCACAACGCTGGGCACGGGACTGCAAAAAGAAAGAATTGGCCTCAGTTACTCTTTCAACGCGCGTCCCTCGGCGGGGCTGGACGTATGGGCTTCAAGAGCAACATCTCGAAGAAGCGCGCCGCCGCCGCCGCCGCCCGCCGAGACCGCCAGCCGGGCTGGTCAGCGACGGAGCCGAGCGTCAACTCCGCAGCGTTCCGTGAGTAGTCGCGCCCGACAGATACTCGTGTCGGTGGATGCAACCCACGGACGGCGAGACGCCCCTCGCTAGCCCAGACACGCATGACAAACAACAAGTGAGTGTAGTTAGAGTTGTTTGGTATTGCTAAAAATCTCCTCTCCTCGCATGACCATGAGTGCGTTCATATGCGTGTATGTTGTCGGGGTGTTGGTACGAAAGTCTCCTCGGGCGTTTCGAGGTTGTGCGGCGAGGGGGGACGTTCGGAGGACGTTTGGGGATTCGGGTTTCGCACAGCAACGGAAAATAAAAGGGGCGGAGAGCGCAAGCCTACGGACAGAAAAAAAGCGCGTTGACGGAACACCAATGCAAGAGTACGAGGCCCTTCCCAGCAGCGCGGCGCCGTCCCGCACAAGGACGGCGTCGACGACGCGAGGCGTCCTCTGCATCATTCTCCGAGATGTTGCCACGACGGTACTCCTCCTCGGCGCCTTCGGTGGAGCGACCATGCTCCTCGCGGGGAAGCACAGTGTGCCCGCGCCTCCGGGCATCCAGGAAGAGCTCGTGAGCTGCTGCCTCATGGAAGACGGAGCGGGGCGGCGCTTGGCGCCAAAACGACCCGCCTCGTCGTCGTCGGCCGACGAAGAAAATCCGCCGGCATGTAAAAGGATGTGCTCCAAGGCATACACGGACGCGGCCGCGGCTGCAGAAAGAGCACCCGCGCCAGACAGCTCCCTGCCGCCGCTGCTGCAGGACCTGCGCAAATGGCGGTGCCCCGAAGAGTATTTGAGCGGCGGCAACGATACGCGCATCATGGAGGACGCGCCCGACCAAAAGGCCTTTGTCAACAGGCTCAAGGCAACTGCTCTTCCTGGCACCCGGTTGGTGAAGCACTACGACGAATGGGTCAAGTGGCTCGACATGGTCGCCGAAGAGTACCACCGATCGGTCAACTGCCCAGACGGCCTCGATCCCTGCTTCCAGCGCGACTTCGACACGTGCATCGGCGTCAACGGTGGGCGCACCGTCGCCTTTGGTAGACGGACCATCCGCAAGCTCGCCGATCCGGAGCACATCGCCGAGGAGGACCTGGGCACCACCGAGCAGAGCGCGGCGTGTCAGCGGGTCAATGCGCGCTTCGCCGAGATGACGGCGACGACGCGCATCGCAGAGTCGATCGCCGACATGCGCCGGTGCGACGAGGGCTCGGTGTGGCGTTCGCAGAGCGGGCCGACCAAGAGATCCCCGGGCAAAGCGTGTTACGTCTGCTGGCCCGTCATGTTCAAGGCCGTGCACTTTGACATGATGGCCAACGGTGCGTACACGTGGGAGGACATCAACCGCCGTGCGCGCTGCCTGTACGGCTTGTACGCGAATCTGCATGGCTTGCTGGGCGAGGCGCACGTGACGCAGCAGCAGCAGAGGGTGCTCGTCAAGGAGGATCGCGACGAGATGCAGCGCAGGGCGGCAGCGTACATGAGCAGGGCCTTTGACAATAGGGATCTCGAGATGGCGCCGTTTGGGGTGCGCTTTGTGATCACGGAGACGAACCGGCCCGACGAACCCGAGCTCGACGTGTACTTTCCAAGCTTCAAGCGCGAGCATGTTGGTCCCAAAGGCAATGCGCTCAGCCCCAAGTGGACAGGGCTGCCAAAGGCGCTCATGCAGCACCACGCCAATAAAATGATCGTGCCAGGTGGCGCCGCCTCCGCCAGCTGGACATATACCCACTTCATTTTCACGACGGGTCGATTAACCACGAAGTCAACGAAGAAGCAGCCAGACGGCTCAGTACTGAAAACGCTGATTCCGCGAAAGCCTCCACCTTTGCATGCGCGTGAGTACAAGTGGATGATACTAACAGGACCAGACCGTGTCGCTGATGCGCCGTTGTGCCTCATGAAGAACGGAGGTTGCAGCACGATCAGTGAAGAAATAGCTATGGCGAATCCTGAGCAGATGGAGACGATCTTAGCGAGGGACATCAGTGATGAAAGCTGGGCAATCGGATAAGTGAATGTTACTTGCGTCTGTTTGAATGGCCCTCGTTTGCTCAGTTTGCACAGTAGTGCGTGCGCAGTTCTGAGCCGCGCTGCAAACCCGGTGAGTGATTTTTAATGTTATGAAACAACGCAAGGCGGACATGCACATGGCGTATCGCTCTCGGGTCTCGGGCCCACTCACAACCTCGGGCTACCGTCACCGACGAGAGCTGCGCCGCAGCGGCGTTTTCTTTTTCTCGCCTTCTGCCCCAACAACCCACCCCCCCGCCCCCCGGTCACCAACTCACCATCAGCATCACCCATCAGTTGACATCAGTCCCAGTAGGCGCCGCGCCACGCACGCTTCGCCCCCCCCGCATGCGCGCGACCGCGAGCTGCCACACGGCGGGGCTCACGCGGCGCCGGTCGGGCCGCCCCTCCGTCAGGTCGGCCCAGACGGCGGCGAGGAGCGAGCCCGCCGTCTCGCGGAGGCGCTGCCGCCCCTCCCGGCCGTGCAGCGCGTCCGACACGAGGCTCGCGGCCGAAGACCAGCTGCCGGCATCGAGCGGCGGCGGCGGCGGCGGCGGCGGCTCCCCGTCGGCCGCCGAGAAGAGCTCCTCCGGGAGCGCAAACTGGCGCAGCAGTTCCCTCGCCCGCACCGAGTGGCCGACGGCGTCAAACGCGCCCGTGGCATCGGTGCCGGCGGCGTCGGACAGGTACTCGGGCCCGCCGGGGTGGTCGTCGAGGTACGTGGTCACGTCGTAGTACTGATCGCCCAGCTGCAGCACGACGTGGCCCCGCTCCGCAGCCAGCGCCGGCCACGACCTTCGAAAGGCGTAGTAAAAGGCGCGCCAGCCGGCTTCGGCCGCCGCGGCGCGAGGGGGCTCGCCACCAAAGAGGCGCGCCAGCAGCGGCGCGTACCGCGCGCGGAAGAGGTCCTCCCAGAGGCTCTGGTCGCACGCGACGGAGCGGAGGAGCGTGCACGCGGGCGCGACGCCCGCGACGAGGTCGGCCGCCGCGCAGTGCGAAACGATGCGCGAGAGCGCGTCGTGCGGCAGGTCGAGGAGCGAGACGCAGCCGGCACTCTCGTCGTCCATTCCCGTCACCGCCAGAGCGGGGTCGAGTCTTTCTCTTCCGCGGCGCCGTTCAGCTGACGAGAAAAAGAAAGTTCGTGGAGGGCGATTGCGAGCTGTGAACGGCTGCCGAAGGTGCGACCGAGCCTGCCGCGCTCGATCTGGGAGGTGGGAGCCACTCACTCGGCGCCAGGTCGAGCGGCGGTCGGCTCGGCCACTGCGGGTGCGACGCATGATAGTAGTTAGTAGATAGAGCATGCTGTCGGCGCTGCTGCGCGAGTCCAACCCGCCGGCGAGGGCAGCGGCAGGCCGTCAGCACAGCCTCTTCATCGACGGCGAGGGGCGGCTCTCGTCGTGAAATCCTAGATAGATCCCGTCTCACCTGGGGTGCCGGCCGAACGAAGCTAAGAAACCACGGCGTGGGGTGGGTGGGGTGTCTGGAAAGACTTACGAGCGTCATCTTGTAGTGAACAGGCCGACTTGCTTCGTGGTTTGAGCGCCCAGCGCAGACCGACCGACCGCAGGGGGGGGCCGGTCGACGGCCGCGGAAGACCGCAGACCGGAGGGGGGGTCCGGTCGGTCGGAGCGCAGACCGATGGGGGGGGGGGGGGGTCGGTCAGGTTGGCTCGTGGGTCAAAACCTGTGTCGCCTGCCGGACGCGGCAGTAAGGAGCTTGCCCGAAGAAAGGGCGGGCGCCGCTTCCATGCTCGAGGGCCTCCGAGAGGGCTTCACCACGCTGATGTCGCCTCCGCCTGAGGCCACCGCCTCGGACCGGCTCTTCCAGGCCTTTGCCGTGGACCAGACCAAGAAGTTTGGCGAGGGCGGCTACGGCGCGACCTTTGCTGCGCACGCCGTCGCGACAAAGCAGCCGCTGGCGGTCAAGATCATCGACACGCGCCGGATGCGGCTCGAGGCGATCCGGCGCGAGTGCCACATGCTGGAGCAGCTCGACCACCCCAACGTCATCAAGGTGCTCGGCCACGGCACCGGCAGGGCGTCGACCGGGCAGCAGCACCTCTACTTCATCTTTATGGAGTGCGCGAGCGGCGGCGAGCTCTTCGACCAGGTGATCGACCGCGGCGCCAACGCGATGCCCGAGGAGGTCGCGCGCGGCTTCATGCGCGGCCTGCTCGCCGGCGTGCAGCACTGCCACGAGCGCGGCATCGCTCACCGCGACCTCAAGCTCGAGAACGTCCTCCTCACGCGGGAGGGGACGGTCAAGGTGATCGACTTCGGGCTGTCGCACCAGTACCAGCGCGGCGCCGACGGCGCCTTCGACCGCTCCGCCCCCCTCACCGACATGTGCGGCTCAAAGTCGTACGCCGCGCCCGAGGTGCTGAGCGGGCGCGGGTACGACGGCTTCGCGGCCGACGTGTGGAGCCTGGGCGTATCGCTCTTCGCGATGCTGTCGGGCTTCTTCCCGCTCGACGAGGCGACGAGCAAGGACTGGCGCTACACCAAGATGGCCGAGGGCCAGCGGCGCGGCAAGTCGACCACCGCCCTCGTGTACGGCTGGTACAAGCGCTCGACGGCACACTTGAGTGGCGAGGTGGTGGCGCTGCTCGACTCGCTGCTGGCCATCGACCCGGCGAAGCGGTGCACGCTGCCGGAGGTGCTCAAGCACCCGTGGATGGTCGGCGCGCAGCCGATGCAGCTCGGCGGGCCCGCCAAGCAGCCCTGGCTGCTCGAGGCGAACCAGGGCAGCTACAATGCGCACGAGCTCGTCGGCGCGGACGCGGAGGGCCCGGTCTGGAGGTCGGCCATCGTGACGGGGCCAGGGGTGCAGGACCTGCTCGACTATGACGACGACGCGATGGACGAGTGCCTGCCCGTCTACCGCTCGCTCGGCCTCTCGCCCACACAGCCGCTGCCCATGCCCGCGCTCGGCCGCCAAAAGGCCATGTCGCGCCTCGACGCCTAGTGCCCCTCTCGGGCCCGTACTCTTGTTGTCTCATGCGTGTGCCGCCGGAGCGTGGCTCGGCCAGCCCCCCCCCCCCCCCCCCCCCTGGTCGCCCCACGCCCAACCGCCACCGCGCACATCTGTCATCTCCCAGCCGGGTTGAGAGAGCCACCTTTTGAGAGCCCCCCGCCCCCCCCCGCCGAGGACGGGCGGCCGCGCGCGTGCAGCGTACGTGAGAAAGCATAAGTGTTCGTCAAACTCCGGTAATTTAATTGTACGATCTGTGTGATGCAAAAAATACGCATGAATGTATGCGGCGCGGGGCGCACGGCCATCGGTCGGCCGACCCGCGATACACGGAGAACACGCCGCACAGGTCCGCGCAGTCCGCAGAGGCCAGAGAGGCCAGAGCGACGCGAGAGCGCGGAGCACCCACGGGGGCTGCGGCAGCCTGCGGGTGCGACGCTCGCCCCCGCACCGGCCACCGCGCCTCCGCCTCCGCCGCTCCGCGCGCCGAGACCCGCCCCCGCGCCCGCGGACCCCAGCGCCGCTGATCTCTTTTGTCCTGCTTCCAGCCGCGGCGGCGGCTGCCGCCACGCCCACTAGTCTATTGATGCCGTGTGGTCGGCAGCATGGCGCGGGCAGCGACGCCCACCTCCCTGAACACGATGTCCATCGTCTGCTTGTGGCTCATCAGCTTCATGTGCTGCTCGCCCGCGACGGTGAGGTGCACGTGCCGCCTCCGCCCGCCAACCCTCTCCTCGGCGGACGGCAGCGCCGCCACCTCCTTCCACCGCCTCACCATCGCGTCGGGCCAGACGGTGTCGGCGTCGGAGCCCACCGACACGAGCGGGCACGCCACGAGCGGAGCACCAGCTGCGTGCGGCGTGTCCGCGTGGAATCCGACCGCCGCGTCCGCCTGCCCAAGCGCATCCGCAGCCTCTCCCGGAGGGTCGGGCAGCGGCGAGGAGAGGGAGCCGCCCCCCGCCGGCGCGGCGCCGAGGAGCACGCCGCAGCGGAAGAGGGTGGAGGACCGCTCGCGCATCGGCTTCGGGATGGCTGCCGCCGCCGGCCCCTGGAAGCGGAGCATGCCCTCGGCGTCGGAGCGCACAATCATGTCGGCCGTGGCGCGGCTGAGCGTGGCCGCGTGCGCCGCGCCGCGCCCGGCAACGCAGAGGCAGAGCAGGTTGGTCGCGCCTCTCCTCGCCGCCTCGACCGCTACCCCGTACAGGAGCAGGGCGCCGAAGCTGAAGCCGTACAGCGCAAACGGCGCCTCGCCCGCCGCGGCGAGGATCTCGTCCGCCAGCCTGCCGACGAGGCCTTCTCGCTCGCCCGCGAGGTCCTCCTCGTCGAGGCCAGTCTCGACTGGGAGGGCGCAGGAAGGGAGCGGCTCGTCGCTCCGGAATCCGTGGCCAGGCAGGTCGCATAGCCGCACCTCGAGCCACGCCGGCGCCGACCGGATCCACGGCTCGAGCGACATTGCGACATCCGCCACGCCGTAGAGGCAAAACAGCCTGACCCGCGCGTCGGGCCGAGGCACGAAGCACTTGGACCTCGCCTGCGCGCCCTTCTCCTCGCCCGGCATGGACGGCGCCGACGTGTGAAGGCCCGGCAGCGCGGCGCTCAATAACTCGGCGAGGCGGCCGTCCTCCCAGCCGCCATCGCGAATGCCGTGGGCCGAGAGCGGCCCGTCCGGATCGGGCGCCTCGCCGGGCTCCTCGTCCGGAGACGGCTGTAGCCGGCCCGCGCGCTCGGCCTTGCTGAGCGCATTCGCAATCGTCGAGCGCTGCGGCGCCTTTCCGACTCCGGCGCCGCGCAGGGCTTCGAGGAGTGCCGGTCTGCCGTCGGCAGCCGTGGCCCGGAGCGAGCGCAGCGTCTGGCCCGAGACACACAGGTGGTCGAGCCGGCACTCGGCGAGGAGCTCAGTCAGCGTCGCAAGAGTCGAATCCGGCATGTTGAGGGATATTATAGCGCGTGGCCGAGCGAGCCGATGAGCGGCAAATGCCTGGACCACCCGCGCGCCTACCCGTACCCGGGTACAGGGTTCGGGCTCCAAGCTGGCGAGGTACTTTATAATGCTCGCCAAGGCTCGCCCCAGCATCTCGGGTTGACTCGGCCAGACTAAACCCCCGAGAGGCGTGGGAGTACCTCGCCAGGCTCCTAGCCGGATAGGGCGTCTGGCTGTTGAGGAGGGGAGACGTGGTACGTGGAGGGAGGGAGAAGAGGAGGGGAAGGGGCCCGAAAGGGCCTCGCAATAGGTAGGTACCCTCTACTGAGCACTGGGATAGGCGGGGGTCGATTCCGCATGCGACATGCCTCGACGATTTTTCCCCGTTCCCCCCTCCCTGTGACGAAATCTTTTCTCTCTCTCGAAATCTTTGCGCTCTCCTTAGTCCTTTCATTCACGGAAAGCCTTTCTACATACATAGATAGTCGTTGATACCCCCTACTAGCTACATCTCACCATTTTCGCTTCGCTGCCTGTTGGCCTGTGCCGCACACGGCACCAGCAGGAAAAGGTTTTGTGTGCAAGACCAAGAGAGGTCCGTATATGAGTTATATGGCTCACCGCGTGTCAGTCGCAAGTCGACCGGACGGCCCGCGAACCCTGGCATCAAAAACGAAAAACACGGAAACCACAAGCGCGCTTCCTTTTAAAATACCTTTTGCGTTTTGGACACGACGACCTGCAAGAGTCTAACACTAACTCACGCCGGCCGGAACCCCAGGTCGGCGCCGGTCCGCGGGGCAAAGGGCTGCAGGTCCGCGAGGGCGGAGAGGAGCTGCCACCAGTAGCACGCCACCGAGCCGGTGTGCAGGTGCTCCCGCGCGAACGCCTGCGCGCGGCGGCCAATCTCCTCCGCCTCGCGCGCGTTTGCGTTAGCCCACCTGTACTTTTCGTCGAGGTCGGCGAGGCTGCGGTCGACTGGGACGTAGTGGCGCCACGGCCGGAGCAGCGGGTAAAAGTGCTCGCTCGAGAAGGAGTCCTGCTTGAAGATGGTTGCACCGAGGTGCATCTCCGACGCGAGCCTACTTCCGCCGGCTCGCCGAGATCTACCGAGGTGTGCACCGAGATATACCAATCGATCTCTCGACGCGAGCCGGCTCGAGGCCACGTTGCCGTCGACGTGGAGCAGGTAGCGGTAGCCGCAGTTGGCGGCGAAGGGCTCGATCTTGCGCTTTGGCCCGCGCGCCCGCATCTCCTTCTCCATCTCCGCGTCCCACCCCCACTCGTGCTTGTTCAGCTTCGGCGAGTCGCAATGGTCGTACGTGCCTTCAAATTCATCACCAGTCAATCAGCTCATTCTCAATCAGCTGGCTCGTCGCAGTGGTCGTGCGTGCCGGCGTCGACGGCGCCGGGGCGGGAGGCCGTGTGGATGTTGGCGCGCTTGCGCGGGTAAAACTGCCAGATGGGCCCGCGCCAGCCGCGGGTCGGCCCGTTGCAGCCGCCGCGGAAGTAGAGGAGCGGCTTGCGGCTCGCGTAGGGCTTCGGGCAGCCGCCGGAGCGCAGCTTGCTGAACGGCTGCGGCCAGCGGTGCGCCTTGTCGTCCCAGGACCAGGGCGCGGGCATGGCGATGTCGCGGTGGGCCACGTCGACGTAGTGGGCGAGGACGGGGAGGGGATGCTGCCGCGGCACCTGTGGAAGGGGGAGGGGGTGTGTCGCCTCTCGTGCGAGGAGCGGGCAGTCCTGTCGGGCGGGGTCGCCTTCGGGTGGCCCCAGAGGTGCTAACCCAACCCCTAGCCCCGACCCGAGGTTGCCTTCGGGTGGCCCCAGAGGTGCTAACCCAACCCCTAGCCCCGACCCGAGGTCGCCTTTGGGTGGCCCCAGAGGTGCTAACCCAACCCCTAGCCCCGACCCGAGGTCGCCTTCGGGTGGCCCCAGAGGTGCTAACCCAACCCCTAGCCCCGACCCGAGGTCGCCTTCGGGTGGCCCCAGAGGTGCTAACCCAACCCCTAGCCCCGACCCGAGGTCGCCTTCGGGTGGTCCCAGAGGTGCGCCACGAACTCGACGTCGGGGAGCCGGACGAGCCTCGCCACTGTGCGCAGCATGTCGAGCACGAGCGTGAGCCGGTAGTCCGAGTTGGCGCGGTAGTAGAGCCTGCCCTCTCTGACGCTCACGTGCAACCCAGGCAGCGCGTGCCGGCGGCCGGCGGGGTACATGTGCGGCGAGAAGGCGAGGTCGAGAACGGAGGCCGTGAGTTCGCCCTCCGCCCACGGGGCGAGCGCAGCGGCAACCACCGGCCCCCACAGCGTCGCGTTGTACCTCCACCCCGCCGGACTGTCCGCCGCCCCGGCCCCAATCGGGCAGGCCGCCTCGCCTCGCCGTGCTCGCGCTCGCGGCGGGCGCTGCTTTGGCCGCGCGAAGGGCGGCCGGGCGCCGCCCCACGACGCCTCCGTCGGCATCGCCGCGTGCGCCAGCCGCACGAGCCGGCCAGTGCTGAGCGAGCGGAGCTGGAACCAGCCGGCGCCGCCCTCGCCCGCCGGCAGGAGCTGGAAGCGGCAGCTGTCGCGAGGGCACCCTCGCGCGGCTGCGAGGAGGCCGTCGGCGCCGGCCTGCAGGGTCAGCGGCTCCTTGGACGTTCCCTGGGCCACGAACTGGAAGCTCGCCGCAGGCGGCGGGACGCAGCCGCCCGCGCCCGAGGAGGCATCCGAGGAAGCGGCAGCGCGGCTCCGCAGCGTGTGGAAGGCCGCCAGCTCCGGCGAGGGCACAAGCTCGGTCGAGTCGCTCGGCGGTGCGCCGACGTTCTGCGGCGAGCCGTTGGAGTGACCGCGCACGCTGCCAGCCGAACGCAGGTTGACGCACCCTCCGGAGAGCCGGTTCACGAGGTGGCCACGCGAGAGCGACGCGTTGGCGCCCCAGGAGGGCTGGAACCGAAAGTGCGTCGCCCACCCGCCGCTAGCGTCGGCCACAAAAGTCCAGTCTGCAGCCGGCAGAGCGGGCGAGGCGGGCGGCGGCGGCGGAGGCGGGCAGAAGCGTGGCATCGATCGACTTCGTGTATTTTTTTGCTTGGGCGGACCTGATGACGGGGAAGGTAGGGTAGGTCTGGGCCCTCCCGTCGGGGTTTTCCCTCTCTTCAAGCTGGAATTTTCACAGCAGAAAAAGAAATTTTCCGCGGAAATCACGATGTCAACCCTCCCCAACAGAGATCGCTTGAATGCCGGCATTCAAGCGCGACAGTGCTAGCCGCCTCCGCGATGCTGAGCGGTGCATGAAGGGCGGCGAGCCGCTGACGATGCGCGAGGCGTCCTTCATCAGCTCGCTGATGGGACACGCCCAGCACATCGACGCGGCCACCGTCCGGTTCACCATGCACATCGACGGCAGCCTCGACGGGCAGATCAACTTGAAGTCCGAGTACACACGGGAGCTGGAGCGCGCGGAGCGCGAGCGAGCGGGCACGTGCGCCGCCGCCGCGCCCGCCGCCGCGCCCGCCGCCGCGCCCGCCGCCGCGCCCGCCGCCGCGCCCGCCGCCGCGGCGCCAGCCGCCGCGGCGCCCGCCGCCGCGCCACCCGCCGCGCCCGCCGCCGCGCCCCCCGCCGCGCCCGCCGCCGCGCCACCCGCCGCGCCTGCGGCTCAGTCGTACGCAGCCGCGGCTGCACAGCCGCCTGCCGGCAGCCTCACAATCCGGCCGGCCAAGCGCGGCCGGCGCAAGGCTGCGCCCCGCGTCGACAGGAACGCGCTCTCCGCGCGCGGCGACGGTGTGCCGCCGCGGCGTTCGCGCTCCTCATCGCCTGACGCGCCGCCTGCGAAGCGGGCCTCTTCTGCCGGCTCCTCCGTTTGCGGCTACGACTCCGAGGCGCCGGAGGAGATCCAGAACGAGGCGCTCTACCGGGCCTGCCGCGCGTACGGCTTAGGTGAGCAATTCCTCGCTGCGGCGCAGGACGAGGGCACATTCGGCGAGTGGCTCGACGAGCTACCCTTCGAGGTGGCTGCGGCGACCGCCCGGCTGCTCAAGCACCACGCGCGCTCCGGCGCGTGGGTCGAGCTCTCGCCCGGCAACCCTAGCCAGGCCTCACGCGCTGGCCGCGACCGCGACCGCTCGAGCCCGAACTGCCCGTCAGATATGTCGGAATTGTCGGAGAATAGCGACTAGCACACCTCTGAGTCCCAGAAACCCGAGGAGTCATACAGTCCACCTGTGTGCTGTGTGATGCACGCCCTGCGAGCGGGGCGGGGTGCGCACTGTCCCTCTGTGTTCGTGTGCGTCGCCCATCTCTCCCTGGAGATGACTGCTCTATTTATTTATTTATTACCCTCCCCAAATGGGTGATCTGATGCTGGTAGGGCTTGAGAGTGGCCTGCCATGTCACAAGAAAGAAGGACTGTGGTTGCACCACTCTATCTAGTTGGTATAGTACCCCACCTTCACCCATCCAGTGATTTCTTTTTTAGTTTCCCATAACGCATACCATAAGTAAGGTAGGTAGGTAGGTAGGTAGGTAGGGGCAGGGCAGGGGCCGGCCAGGTTTTTGCAGAATTTCATCATCAGGTCCGCACAGAAGCAAAAAAAGTACACACTTGATGGCAGAAGAATTTTGTGCGCTTGATTTGCCTTCATTGAAAGAGGCACTACTTAAAATCCCTGTGTGGTGGCGGCGTGCCGTCCTCCCATCCCTCCCTTGGGTTCTCTGTTTTCTTTCTTTCTTTCTTTGAAAGAGGCAGATCCTCCCATCCCTCCCTTGGGTTGTCTTTTTCTTTCTTTCTTTGAAAGAGGCAGATCGTCCTTCCAAAATCCTGCTCGTGCAGGTGTGGACCCTGTCCTCCTCCCCTATCCCTCGTTTGGGTTGTCTGTTTTCTTTACTTTTGAAAGAGGCAGACGACCAAGGGTTAGGGTGGGCGACGGCTAGCACCACACTCCTCTCCTTAAAATCCCTGTGTGGTGGCGGCGTGCCGTCCTCCCATCCCTCCCTTGCTTGCCTGTTTTCTTTCTTTCTTTTTCTCGAGGTTCTCCAGGTGGATATCTTTAGAGAGATCTTTGAAGACCATCTCTCTCTTGATATCCTTTGGCCGCGTTGGGTAGCGAGGATTGGTGTGACGCGATCCACGCAGGCGTGTTTTCTGGCGGCCGACCGTCAGTGCCCATGCCTTCCCTCGCGTGTCTGTTTTCTTTCTTTCTTACTTTTGCGAATTGGAGAGAGAGATTTAAATACCAAACAACGTTGTTGTCGAATGCACAATATCTCTCAGTCTAGAGCTCTAAGCCTCGTGGGAAGGCGATGCTGGGGCCGGGTACAACAGCTTGATGGTGTTTCGCCGGCGTAGAAGCGGCCGCGGAGCGCGGAGGGAGCTCGGGGTGCTGAGTGAGAAAAAAGCCGGCGGATTTAAACGTGGCGGTGGGCTACGGTGGGGCGGGGGGGAGATTTTTACTGTCGACCCAAAAACGACACACTGTGCTCTGTGGCGTAATCCCCTCTCATATATGGCTAAATATTTACCGAGCCGTTTTACGTTCCACCGCTACGACTGGAGATATATCGAGATTCGCTCACATGCCACAGATGCCCCTTTTTACATTTTAGCCTTTTGCAAGAGCGGGGTTAAACCGCTGGCACGACCACACAGGAAAAAAGACGCGCCAGTCCCACCGCCTGATATACCATCTATCGGCGCCGATCCGCCAGCGACCGACATTTGGCCAAAGCGAGTCAGCGCTTGCGCGCAGCAGAGCTCCCCTCGCGTGGCGGGCAGCGATGCCGTGCCCTCGTCGGCAGAGCTGGCGCGCCGCCCGCGACCGCGAGGAAGAGCAGCGCGGCGACGTGCCGCCACGGCAGCCGCGCGTCGACGGCGACGAACGAGGCTGTGGTCGCCGCCCTCCACTTTCGCTTCCACCGCGAGATGCCCGCCGTGTTGTAGAGCCAGCCGCCCCTCTCGTGCAGCAGCCGGAACAGCGCCTCGAGCGCGGCGCTCCACTGCACGCCTCTTGCCTGAAGGCCACTTGCCGGCGCGCACCCCGAGGCGCCCGCGCACGCCTCCCGCCGCCGCAAGGCCAGCGGGCTCTCTCCTGCGTGGCGCGGGGGGCGTTGGCGGCGAGTCCGCCGGGCGGCCTGTGCTCCGGCAGGCAACTCTCACCGAGCGCGAGGGTCAGGGGGCGGCGGTGTGCGGCGGCGACGAGCGCGGCGCCCTCGACGGCAAGCAGCGAGGCGACGCCACCCACCTCCGGGTCCCACCGTACGCCGCTCAGCCCGACGCCGCAGAGGACGCCCTCGCAGTAGCGGTGGTCGAGGCACGCCCAGCCCACTACGCGGCCGCGGCGGCGAGCGCAGACGCGCCTGTTCGCAGCGGCCAGGGAGGTGGGCGGTGGTGCCGTCGGCGTGCGAGCGGTGCGAGCGCAAGTCACAACGTGGTGTGCGGCTCGACCCGTCGGCGCGCGTACCGGCGAGTCACGCGGCGGATGGAAAAGGGCCGCGTCGCGAGGGCGCGCGACGAGAGCCACCGTGCGTCCAGATCCTCGAGCTCTCTCCAGATCGGAGAGGTCGCTTCGGCGGCGGGGAGAGGCGTGACCGCCACGCCAGCCTTGCGCGCCTTGTCGACCTGGCGCCGGAGCCCTCGCATCGCGCTGCCAGACAGAGCGACCGGCACCGGCACCTCGTGGTCGACTCCGTACCCAACGATCCGAAACCCTCGCTCCGCAACGACCGCCACGGTCTGTTGCGAGGCCTTCCAGAAGCCGACGTGGTGGCCGCGGGCCGAGGTCAGGAACTCGTCGATCAGCGCTGCGAGGTCCTCCTCCGCGCAGAGAGGGTCGTAGAAAACTATTCTCGTCCTGAGGAACCTGCAAGTCGCGTGGGCGACGACGCCTCGGCCGGAGACGAAGCGCTCGAGGTCTGGATCGAAGGCGACCGAGAAGGCGTTGGCGCGGTGGCCGTGCTGCAGGTAGAAGAGCTCGACGGCGCGATGAGGCAGCAGCGGAGTGGGCGACAGCTGTACGACGAGACGAGGTGCCCTCGCAGTGTCTACGGCGAAAGAATTCTCGCTCTTCTCGACTCTTCTACTCACCGGAAAACGCAAATGTTTGAAAAAAGAATTCGATGGGCGGTCGAGCGCAACCCGGCCCACATGGTTGAGCCGGGCGCCTCCACCGCCGCCGCTGCCGATCCTTCCGACCTCATGTCGCAGCTCGACGCGCTCGAGCACGCCGAGCCGCTGAGCGCCGAGGATGATTTGATCCTGCGCATGGAGGCCGTGTCGAAGGTGCGCGCCAAGGCGGCGCGGCGCGAGACGCGGCAGCCAAAGCAGGGCATCGCCAAGAAGAGGAAGCAGCCTCGACGAGGGACGAAGCCTTCACATGGACAGAGAGACTGTGTGGGCCCGGTGTAGATGCTCTGACGCTCTGGCCTCTCCTCGTCGGGGTGTGGGCGCGGTGTGCTTCTGGTCGCGACCCCGGGCGTCACTAGACAAAAGCGCGGTCAGAGTTCCCTACAGTTAGACACCGTCGAGCACACGCAGGTCCGACTAAGTCCGCGGGCCCTAAGCTAATCAGCAACTATCACTGTTTTCTCGACGACACAACAGCGCATTCGGATTCGCGCTCCAATATGCAATAAAGTCCAATGGCATTACTGTGCGGCTCTTCAGGCCCATACCCCGCTAGTGAGGTAGGGGGCACCGTTCCGCTCTCTTGCAAAAGCGCACGTGGTGATCGGCGGGGGGCGGCGGGGGGCGCGCGCCGCCGCAGCGCCGGGGCGGGGGACCGAGGCTACTACACGTTGTTGTCGTCGAACGGAGGGGGCACTGCCGGAAGCCGAGGCTCGGGCGCCGTGCTGTCGGGCCCGAGCACGGGCGGCGCGTTGAGCACCGACCCCTCCATCGACGCCGCATCGTTCGCGAGCAGCCCCTGCGCCGCGGCGCGGCGCTGCTCCGCCGACGACGCGGCCATCGGGTTGGCCGCTGCCGGCGGCGGCTGCTGCTGCTGGCGCTGCTGCTGAAAGCTGGCGAGTCCAGCGAGCGCGCTGAAGGTCTCCTCCTGGGACCCGCCCGGGGCGGCGGGCGCGACCAGAGGCGCGACGCCCGCAGCCCCGTGGCAGGCGCCGAGGCTCATCGAGGCGGGCAAGCCGCCCGGCGGGGGAGGGCCGCCCGCTCCCGGCCCCGCTCCAGGCGCGGGCGCCGGCCGCGCGCGGGGGCGCGCCATGCGCGCCATCGATCCCGCGCCGCGCGCGCGCTCCCCGAAGAAGTCGAAGTAGGACTGCAGGTCGACCTCAAAGTGGCGCGCGAGGCCGAGCAGCAGGACCACGACGAGGGCGACGAGCGAGAAGGCGAAGCAGAGCGGGCCCGCCCACTCGGGCACGAAGGGGTGCACGTGCGGCGCCTCGACCTCCTTCCACAGCCTCGCCGCCGCCCCGCACACGTCGCACACCTCGAACCTCACGCCATCGTCGAGTGTGAAGCACCATGGACCCTGTGGCGCATGGCCGGGGTCGACCGCGGCGCCGGCCGCTGTGGTGGGCGGCTCGACGTTGCGGCAGTAGTCCGCGACGTACGGCGTGTCGCGGCCCAGGCCGATTGGCTTCTCCGTGTGCCACTTGTGCGGATGCTGCCGGTGCCACGGCTGGCACCGCAGGCCCGAGGCGGTCGTCGAGACGGAGCCGCGGAAGCGGGACCCGCCCTCGCCCCACCGCTCCGCGAGGCAACTGTAGTCGAGCGGCGGTGGAGCCGGCCCAGACGGCGGGGACGCTGCGGCAACTAGCAGTGACATCAGCGGCCCAAAGAAGAATTCTCACCACCTAGAGAAAGAAAGAAAGAAAACAGATAAGGCAAGGGAGGGATGGGAGGACGGCACGCCGCCACCACACCAGGTGTATTCTTTTTTTGCTTGGCCGGACGTCATGCTGAAATTCGACAAAAACCTGGACGGCCCTTGCCCTGCCCCTACCTACTCGAGTACCTACCTACCTACCTACCCTACTTATGGGAAACTAAAAAAGAAATCACCGGATGGGTGGAGGTGGGGTACTATACCAACTGAAGTGATGGGTGGTGGTACTCTCCTGGTCCTGCAACCACAGTCCTTCCTGTGACATGGCAGGCCACTCTCAGGCCCTACAGAGCATCAGATCATCCACTTGGGGAGGGTTGACATCGTGATTTCCGCGGAAAATTTCTTTTTCTGCTGTGAAAATTCCAGCGTGAGAGAGCGGGAAAAACCCGACGGGAGGGCCCAGACCTACCCTACCTACCCCGGCATGACGTCCGGCCTAGCAACAAAAGAATACACCTGACCACACAGGGATTTTAAGGAGAGGAGAGAGAGAGAGATTTTTATTAACCAGGTCTGGCTCTGGGCGGCTACGCTGTTTCTTTTGAGAGGGTTGTGTTGCAAGAATTCTTTGTATTGTGTGGGGGCTGGTGAAAGGAGAGCCTGCCGCCCTCGAGGGAGTCGCTTAGGCGGCTCCATAGTGTTCTGTGTTAGTGCCAGTGCGCGCCAGTCCCGAGAAGAGAGAATCTCCAGTCCCGTGCCCAGAAAGAAAGAAAACAGACACCAAAGGAGGGATGGGAGTGCCCACAGAGCGCAGTGTCGTGAGAGAGATAAGATTCAAAAATCTCTCTCTCTCTCTTTCAGAGAGAGGGAGCCGGCTTGTAAAATCCTTTTTTGGCGCGATGAACGCGGGACCGGCCCCAGCTTCGGCTGAGGGCTGACAAGCTGCCGAGCCCAAATCACTGTGTGAGTCGTGTGATTTCTTGTTGGTTTTCTAAAATCTCTCTCTCTCTGAACGCGTCGGAGCGCCTCTGAGGTTTCAAGAGAGGTTTTAGGTTTGTTGTTGGCCAATCTGAGGACCGTCAGAATTATTGTTTCGAAAGCTCGCCACGTTACGTACGGTCTCTCTTCTTGTCTGCAGCGCCGCCCGGCGAGCCGCTGTATTGCTCTGGCTCTCACCCTCCGGGGCCGCCGCCGCCAAGCCCGCCGCCGCCAAGCCCGCCGCCCCCGTCACCACCGCCGGCTGCGCGCCAAATCCAAAAAAAATAGGACCGCTCGCAGAGGACCTTTGGGTTTGTAAAAGAAAGAAAGAAAGAAAACAGACACGCCAAACGAGGGATGGGACGAGGACAGGGTCCCCACACCAGGACCTGCACGAGCAGGATTTTGGAAGGACGATCAGGGGGACAGGTGGGGCTCTCCTGCTCCTGACACGGGACACGACAGGCTCGCAGCGCGGTGCGCGGTGGACTCCCACATCCACTGGCGGTCTCATCTCAGTCTAGCGACCTGCCTCCAGCTTGTCGCTGGCAGTCTCTCCTACCACAGGCACACTGACACAGGGGTGGCAGGGGCGGCGGCACGAGTCTCCCACATACTATGCGGGCCTCACTAGAGGTGCGGCCTGTGCGTGTCCTCGCCCTTGAGGGGGGAGGGGAAGGGGCTGTGTGTCTGTGCATGTGTGTGTGTGTGTGTGTGTGTGTGTGTGTGTGTGTGTGTGTGTGTGTGTGTGTGTGTGTGTGCGTGCGTGTGCGTGTGCGAGCCGCCCTGAACGCCACGAGCGCGCCGCGAGCGCCGTAGCGCCGGCGAGCGCCGTCGGCAGCGCGCGACGCGCGCGCGTGCGCGTGCGCGCCCAGCCGAGCCCTAGGCCGTATGCCGTCTGCCGTCTGCCGTCGGCCGTCGGCCGTCGGCCGTCGGCCGCCGCCGCCGCCGTAGCGGCGGCGAGCGCTCGCCTTTTGCGCGACGCGCAGTGTGGACGCGCGCCGCCCAGCGCCGGACGTGCCGGAGCCGGTCCGGCGCGCGCGCGGGCGGCCAGCGCCTGTAAACAGACAGCTGCCGCCCACACGTGCCAGTCTGCTGTGAGAGGGGCTTGAATTGGGTTTGTACTCTTAACAACGAAGGGTCGGAAATTTCTTCTTCGCCCTGCCGACTCCCGCGGCTACGCTTCGATGCAGGCCGAGGGCAGGCGCGTGCTGCGGCAGATCCTCCGCCGCGTGCCGGGCGCGGACGTGCAGGCGCGGCGTGCTGCGCGGTCGCACCTTCTCTCCATTGTTCGCGGCACGGCAGCGCGAGACGCGGCAACGCTCCCCGCCAGCCAGGCGACGCTCCCCGCGCTCGGAAGCGAGCTTCTCTTCCATCTCGAGTCGCAGGCGGAGCTGCGCCAGCTCAACGAGCGCTACTTTCCGGCGTCCGAGCTGACAGACCGCGAGAAGATTGCGCGGATGGCGAGGATCGTGGGGCTCGAGGCACCGGAGCACGCTGATGCGCGGGATCTCAAGTCGAGCGACCCATGTGACCCCGCGAGATGACTCGCTTTGGACTCGCGCGGCGATCGGTCGTGCTCTGGTGCACATGCGTGCGGTATGTGTTGCGCTCTGCATCGCGGCGTGTGTGGTATGTCGTGGGGCTTCCACGCTCATGGACTGTTGGGCATGGTCCTCGTGCGGCATGTCCATGTGATTGTGAAATTATGTGCTGCGCGCTCAGGCACCGCCCACTGACCATGTTGGCCGGCGGTGGGTGTATGCTGTTGAGCGTGCGGCTGCGCTGGATCGTTTAGCTGAGCTACCATGCACAAGACCCGCACCCGCTCGAGCCCCCGCTCTCGGCTCTCGCCTCTCTTCCCCCCGCACCCCGGGGGCGCCTCGGCGCGTGACTCAGTCCCCGCGTGGCGGGGAGTGCGGAGTGTCAGGCGGGGCGGCGAGCGGAGATGGAGAGGGCGGTGCCTCGCTGTTGCGCGAGAGCGGCGGCAGCTGAGCCCTGGTGTCGAGGTGTCGAGGCCCGGTGTCGAGGGTGTCGAGCTCTGCTGTCGAGGGATAGAGGTGTCGAGGCCTGTCGAGGCCTGTCGAGGCCTGTCGAGGCCCGTCGAGGCCTGTCGAGGCCTGTCGAGGCTGAAACCATGCTTGTCCGTGTCGAGGAGTGTCGAGGGGTGTCGAGGGGTGTCGAGGGTGTCGAGGGTGTCGAGGGTGTCGAGGGTGTCGAGCGGGTGTCGAGCGGGTGTCGAGTGTTGTCAAGAGGCGTCTGAGGTATCGAGGTGTCCAAGGTGGCAGGTGGATGCAGTTGCAGCCCATCAACATACAACAAAAGTTGGGCAGCAGTTGCAAAGCTGTTTCATCCCTTAGTTGCAGCCTCAGTTGCACCCTGTTGATGTAGCACAACCTGAGCACAACCAGTATACTCTCTGTGGACATTTGAGGACATCAAGTGCCGGGAGTCATTGCCACTGTGCACCAAGGTGCTGTGCAGGCGCAGCACCGCAGCAGCGTCGCTGCTGCAGCAGCGTCGCTGCTGCAGCGTCACCGGCGCACAAAGCGCAACTGACCACAGCGCTCATGGCACAAGGCTGGTGCCATGAGTCAGTGGACATTGCCACTGTACAAGGTGCTGTCCAGCAGCTAAGGGCTACAGTACCCCATCGCAGCAGCGTCGCCGCCGCTGCAGCGTCGCCGTTGCAGCGTCGCCAGTGCAACAAAGCGCAATGGACCACAGGTCTGCACTCATGGCACAAGCTCACTGGTGTGAGGATTCATTGCCACTGTACAAGGTGCTGTGCAGCACCTTAGGGCTACCTGAGTACTGCCATGTTTGCTGCATCAACAGGGGTGCAACTGAGCTGCAACTTGAGCTAGAACTCGAGAGGCTGCAACTCAGGGATGAAAGTACTGCCAGCCAAGTTTGATTGCTGCTGCAACCCTGATTTCTAACTCTGTGACTCCAATGGGTCTACGTCTCTGCTGTGTTAGGATCATCAGAGGTGTCGAGCGGTGTCGAGCGGTGTCGAGCGGTGTCGAGCGGTGTCGAGCGGTGTCGAGGGGTGTCGAGGGGTGTCGAGGTGTCGAGTTTGGCACCTTGACACGGACGAGCATGGTTTCAGCCTAGATGGTGTCGAGGGGTGTCGAGGGGTGTCGAGGGGTGTCGAGGGGTGTCGAGTTTGTCGAGTTGGCATGGGTTGTCGAGGTGTCGAGTCGGTGTCGAGGTTTGGTGTCGAGGTGTCGAGGCCAGGGCTCAGGGCGGCAGCCACAGTCTCTGAGGTCGAAGGTCGTGGCTTGCGCTCCATAGGATTCGAAGATCCGAACAATATGATATAGTTAGAGGCTGCGCAGGCCGTCCCGTTTGCTGTTTGAAACGCCTGTTGCGCTGCGCGCGCGCGCTGCCGGGGCTCTGTCTCACTCACGTGCCGCAATATGTGTCACACACGGCGGCTTCTGCCACCTCTCGATTGGTTCCACTTTCTCCGCACACCTACCGGGGAAAGGGCCCGTGGGAGCGGGGGCCGGGGCCGGGGGCGGGGGTGGGGGCGGGGGCGCGCAGCGCGGGGCGCGCGCGCCCAACAGAGGGTAGGGTGGGGAAGACGGCGAGGAGGGGGCGGCGGCGGCCCGGGTGCAAGGGGCCGGCCTTGGGGCCGCCTCGGCGCGCCGCAGGGGCGCGGCGAGCCTTTGAGCGGGAGCCGAAGTTTTTCCTTTTTGGAAGGGAGGGAGGGTGGTGGGGGTAATTTGACTTTGCCGCAGAGGCCGTCCCTAGCTGTGAACAGCAAAACGGGACAGTATTCCAATATGAAAGACTTCCCCCCCCCCCCCCCCAAAAAAAACACAAACGAGTCGAAACGAAAGGACGGCAACGGATAGACCTATAAGCTATAGTTGATATACGAAACTAATCGGCGGTTAT